ACTCCACCCCACCCCACCCCATCTCATCCGACCTCACCCCACCCCAACCCATCCCACTCCACCCCATCCTACCCGACTCCACCCCACCCCATCCCATCCCACCCCACCCCATCCCACCCCACCCCACCCCACCCCATCTCATCTGACCTCACCCCACCCCACCCCATCCCACTCCACCCCATCCTACCCGACTCCACCCCACCCCACCCCATCTCATCCGACCCCACTCCATCCAACCCCAACCCACGCAACATCATCCTGCCCCCTGTAATCTGATCTCATCGCATCCAACTCTGTCCTCCCTCACCCCATCTCTTCCCACCCGTGCAGTCCCTTCCTCTCCCTCCCATCCCTGAGGGCATCACGGTAGTGGCTCTCCACAGAGGAGCTTCAGTTGGAGCCAATCATCAGCGAGGTGTGAGCATCTCACAACACACAGCAGCCCCCAGAGGCTCTGGGCTGCTTGACCAGTTGTCCCTCTGTCTGTCTGTACTGGCTGCCTTCTCTCCTCGTTCTACACCCAGACTTCCTTGGATGACCCCACAGAAGGCAACTGGTCCTGAGATCTTTGTTTCTGATCTCACCTGGGGGACCAGAACCCTCCGCACTTTTCCTTCTTTCTCTCACTTCCAAAAACGTTCATTCACACCACCACCACCTCCGGGTGCCTAGAATTCTCAATCTGCTTTGAATTGGCAGATGTGGGCTATTTGCTTAGAGATGAATGAGAGATCGGGTGGGGGGGGGTATCAAGATGATCTGCCCTAAGTTTGGAAGCCCACGGTGATAGCAGATCCTTGAACAGTGGTGGCCCATCTTCAGCAAGTCCAGGGCTAGGCGTTGGCTTGGCGTTCAGCTACGGGAGCAAAGCTGTTGTGCACTTGAGCACTGGAAGCTTTAGATCATCCCAGCTCAGCACAGAACAGAGCCCCACTCTGAGCAAGGGTTTATTACAGAACCTGGGTTCTGTTCCTGAAGCTGCTGGGAACTGTGGGCCCACAGCCATTTCCAGTGCAGTCCAGACAGGTTACACTCCAAAATTAAACACACCCAACCCTTCACCTGAAGCCTGGAATTATTCATAGCCTTACTTCTGTGTAGCAGAAGTGGGACTTTCATTTAAATGTAAATGGGTTTTGGGAGTAGAGTTTTGTTGGTGCTTTGTTTTGAGATGGGATCTCGTAGCACAGGCAGTCTCCAAACGTACTATGTGCTAGGAACAATGTGGCAAGGGCTGGGATGGCAGGTGGAGGGTCCCCCAACCTGCACTGGGACCCCCAGGATTGAAGTTCTGTGGTGGGTGATGGGTAGCCGGCAGATGGGGAGACAGAGACCTGTAGACGTGACTCATGTTGAAAGTTGTATTGAGGGGGAGGTAAGAAAATAAGGGAAAGAGACACAGAGACAGAGAGAGGACAGAAGAGAAGAGGGAGACAGGAAATGTCCAGTCTGCCCCAGGGGAACAACAGGAAAGAGTTGGCAGGGGTCTTTTTTTAAAAAGGGTCCTTTGCACCTGCGTGCAGACTATGCAACCATGGAACCCCAGGCTGACCACGGTACTGCCTGAGTGCATTCTGCCAGGCGACAGGGACAGGCCAGCATAATGCCTGACTCCTTACAATATGTAGCTTTGCCGCGCTAGTGATGGAAGCCATCACTGCTTCTAGGCAGGAGCTCTAGCAGCCAAACTGCTTCCCCGGCCCTTGGTGTGCCTGGCTGGCATGTTTGCATGAGAGAGAAGGGAAGCAGGAAGGAAAGGGTAACAGGAAGCTGGGGGTCAGAAAAGAGGACGGGACTGAAGTGTAGGGAAGAGGTTTATGGATGGACCAGCATATCATCACCCAGCGGAACTCCCTGAGATGAAAATGTTCTCTGTTCTGTTCAAGGGACACTGCTGAACAGTTAGAATACACTCGCCAGAAACTGGGTTTTCCTGTTATTAGACTGTAATTAGTTTTCGTTTAAATGACTATCTAAGCCTAGAGGCGGTATTGGGCGGTGTGGGCTGAGAAGCAGGCTGTTTGGGGAGTTCGGAAACACATCTTAGGACTGAGCCATGGGCGGGGGACCCACACACTGTCTAAAAATTGCCTCCTTCTACTGTGGGAGAAGGCGGTGTGGTTTCTACGAGAATTTTTTAATGCGTTGGGTCTTTTGCCTGTGTGTGTACACCATGTTCAAGCCTGGTACCCACGGAGGCCAGAAGAGGGCATCGGATCCCCTGAAACTGGGGTGAAAGATAGTTGTGAGCCACCTTGTGGCTGTAAGAACTGCGCCAGGTCGTCTGGAAGAGCAGTCTTAACCCCAAGCCGTCTCTCCAGCCCCTGATGGTTCATTTTCGTAGGCGCCTTGAGCCAGCCTTTGGTCCAGATGCGGGTGAACAAGGAACTGTGCACGCCCGCTAACAGCCTTTGGTCCAGATGCGGGTGAACAAGGAACCGTGCACACCCGATAACAGCGTGCTTGCTGAGCCGCTTACCGCAACCCAAACCAAAAGCTTAGAGAGGGAAATTGCTCACAGTCAAGCTTGCCACAAGGTCATGCTCCTTATAACAGGGTGCAAAATGCAGATGAACCCATGCGCAGCCTTGATGAGAAAAAGACCAATCTAAGCTGGAGGGGGAAGCTAAGGCCTAGAAACCAGGTCAATGAGGGATCCTGGGAGGGCACTCTGGGCTAGCAACCAGCTTTGCAAAGGTCATAAAATAAATGGCCTCCCTTTGCTACTCTGAGTTCCTCGCGCTCCTATTATGAAGTGAGGATCGGCGCTCCTCACCGGACCGTCCAACTCAGCTGTGAGCCACCATCCCTGAAGACAGGGTGCATGTGCCCCGAGAATGGTAAAAGAGACTGATGAGCCCCGGCTTTGTGGACAGGGAAAGGGGCACTTTCTGCTCCTCACGTCTCACCCCAGGTCTGGGACGAACAGCTTTATTTAGAGTTGATTTCAGTGTGGGCTAAAGACCGTAAGAGTCCGAGAATCACTGAAGAAAGACCCCAGACTCAAATAGTGTGCAAACACTCAGAGCATTTATTTATTCCGCACAAACAGCCAGCGTGCAGGGGTCGATCATTCGCACAAAATGGCGATGACAACCCAGGGCAAAAGCATGCAGGCGCTTTAACAAGGAACTTGGGCGGTCCTAAGTGCGGGGAGCTAACTCTCTTCTAATTGGTCGGTCAACGAGCAGTTTCCATGGGGCGCGTGTTGATTGGATAGGACTAGTAACCGGTCCACCTATCGCAGGTCCCCCTGGCCTTATAAGGCCAGATTTGAAACTGGCTGATTGGCTAAGCTTAGCTGGGGGCCTTCCTGGACTCAGGCTTAGGTCATTTTCTACAATGGAGATTCTCTGTATCTAAGAAGGAGTCACATTCCAGCCCTTTCAACACCGTTTCATTCTCTGAAGACAGATGGGGACGGCCTTCTATCCATCCTCCCTCAATGAGAAGCTCCTCTCTGTGCTAGGCACGGGATCAATCATGGAAAATAGGGGGAAGACAGGGATCCCTCTGCCCTGGCCTCTCACGCATGACCAGATGTACAGATGGTCCCAACTTATAAGGGCTCAGCTCAGGGATGGGGTGGCAGTCGTATGCTTCTGTGTCCAGAGTCAACCCTGTGGCATTTCCCAGGCTAACAGAGTGTGACGCTGATTCGTAGTGAAGGAACAGCCCCCTGCTTTAGTAGCCATGACAGGCTGCAGGAAAGACATGTAGGCCTCTGAACCAGCACATGTCTGACCTTGCCGGGCCGGCTTCAGTCACTAGGAAGCTAGATGCCCTCCTGGTGGCAAGGAACCAATCAGAAGTTAGCTGGCGGGACTCTGGATGTGCACAACAGTGGCATGCAGAGCATAGCAACCACCATGGGAGGGTCTACAGGCCATAACAACCAGTTGACCAATCAACACAAGACAGGTTGTCCAAGCCCTGCAGCTCATAGATCCTGAGACTGTTGCATACCCCTAGACACTCCCCTTTCCAAAAATTTCCCAGCCTCACTGTTTCTCTGGGTCCTTCTCCAACCATCCACCATGATGAACAGATGAAGGGCCTGAGTTAATGCAGTTAGCTCATTAAACAACAATAAAAGACTCTGCTTTTGCATTGGAATGGGTCTCTTTGGTGATTTGGGGCACAACAGTTGGGAGTTACAACTCCCAATCAGTCATGTGACCATGGGAGGACTATATCAGTGCTCTACAGTGCTCTCTCTGTGTGTGTGTGTGTGTGTGTGTGTGTGTGTACGTGCCTGTGGAGGCCAGCACTCAACATTAAGTGTCTTCATCAATCACTTTCCACGTGACTTTTTGTGACAGGCTCTCACCAAGTAGCCTAGGCTGACTAGGCATGAGTGCCCGAAACCCTCCCCTCTCCAGCTCCCTGTGGTTGGGATTCCTGGCATCACCACATCCAACACAGCAAGCAGCTTTACCAGCTAAGTCATCTACCTTGTCTCAATGAGTAGCTTTTGACTTATGAGCTCTACAAATTAAAGTGAGTTAATTAGAAAATAACTCATCAAAAGCCAAGGAATATCTGCCACATGTATGTTGTACACACGCATACATATGCATGCCTACGCGTGTAACACTGGGTAAGTCCTCTTATGTGTTAATGTGAGTTCTGCTGGGGATGGCGCATTTCCATCGCTGTTATTTTTAGACTAGCATACCCTGGAATTAAGTGTTGGGGAGCCTCAATTGGACCTTTCTTTGGTCCTGGCCTGATTCAGCTCATCTCGGCTTTCATGAGTTTGTGGTCAGCTAGAAGTCTGATTACAGCTGGCTTTGCCCATCTTAGCTGGGGCCCCCGCTGGGGTAACTGTACCGACTCTGCCCCATCTTTGGCTCGGTGTCGGTCACATTTTTCTGGACTTGTTGACACAGCGGAGACACGAGTATCAATGATCAAAGCACACAGGGCTTGGGGAGGGTGCACACTGACGTAGCAGCCTGTTCTTACTGCTATTGTTATTGCGACGCATCTGAAGCTGGTTACGCAGAGAGAACCAAGATTTATTTAGCCAGCAGATCTGGAGGCTGAAAGTCCAAGAGGGGAGGAGGCTCTACCGACCCTGACGCTAGTGAGGGTCTCATGGCTGATGACACTGTGGCAGGAATGTGGGCAGGGCCAAGGGATCAGAAGTCAAGACACAAGCTAAGTTATACTTACTCTAGTATAACAGTCCTGGCGCCCAGAAGCCTCTCGCCAGGCCGTAAGTCTTTCTTTTAAAAATTTTAGCATGCTCCCAAGCTACAGAGAAACCCCATCTGGAAAACCAAAAGAGAAAATCATGAACACATACTAATCACGCAAAACAAGAGGCACCTACATATGACACACATTGATCATGTTTACGCCCCACCATGCCCCTCGTCTTCCTCTCCTCCTCCCCGCTTCTGTTTTTGTGTCTGGTTTCTAAAATCTAGGTTCTGTGTATGAAAGAAGCGTGTGCGGTGTTAATCTTTCTGAGAACGGCTTGTCTCGCTCAGTGTTTTCGTCACCAGTTCATCCATTCTCCAGCCCAGCTTCTGTAGGACTGAGTTATGCTTCCACCGTGGAGACACACCGTACTTAGGAATCCAGCCGCCGCTGGGCACCCAGCCGACTCCACGAGTGGGCTACTGTGACGGGCAGGTTGCTTTTGTCTGAGCGTTTCGTAACAGTGGACAAAGTCACTAAGTCACCCGGGCGTTGGTGGCGCACGCCTTTAATCCCAGCACTCGGGAGGTAGAGGCAGGTGGATCTCTGTGAGTTTGAGGCCAGGCTGGACCAACAGCCTCCAAAACAATACAGAGAAACCCTGTCTCGTAAAACCAAAAAAAAAAAAAAAGAGCACTGGCTGCTCTCCCAGGGTCCTGAGTTCAATTCCCAGCAGCCACATGGTGGTCCACAGCCACCTATAGTGGGATCTCATGCTGTCTTCTGGCCGGCAGGCATACACACAGATAGAGTACTCATATACATAAATAACGTCGAGATGGCATTGCGTAGAATTTCACAAGAGATGGCCGGCTCTCTATGATCAGCACAGGAAATGCTTGTCCAGGGCTGTCCTGCCCTCTGGTTGCCTTCCTAGCATGGGGTGGTGGTCATTCACTGGATTGGCTCATGATCACTGTCGCTTTAAACTCTTCCTCAGAAACACCTGCAAGGCACAGATTCTTTGACTGAGGTGCCTTAACAGAAGCAGAAGGAGGTGGCCCCAAGTGACCTCTGGGTTTTGAATGATGTCAGTCTCTACCAAAATTACCCAGGACTAAGCCAAAGCATTTCCTCGGAGGACTTAATAGGAACTTATCTAGACAGATCCAGGAAACACAATTTGAAAACTCAGGATTTATCTCATCTGCTACTGTCAAAACGGAGTCTTTCGTAGCGTGAGAAACGAAGTCAAGAATCGGGGTTGCGAACTCACGCATAAACTGTTCTGGGAGCAGGTTCTCCGAGGCTGGGGAAGAAAAGAGGCAACTCTGGGGACAAGGGCTCAGTCTGCAAAGTGCTAACCACGGGAGACCTTGGGAAAGCGGGTCACTGTGGCAGGTGACTGTAATTCCAGTGCGGCAGAGGTGGGGACAGGCAGGTCCCTGGGCCTCGCCGGCCAGCCTAGCCTACTTGGTGTCGGAAGAAGAATACTCCAGATTGAACTCTGACCTCCTCGCTCAAGCACACGCATATACACGTGCACCCACACCCACCCAAACAGAAACAGGATGATGGCGGGGTCAGAGGAACAGCTCTCTGCAGACCTTCTCATGTTATCTTTGGACCTGAGCTTACACGGGGCCACGGGGAAGCTTTCTTGCCCCACCACAATGTCTGAGACTGTTTTGTTATATGGGTTAGACGTCTGCTTTTTTACTGTGGGCCGTGGAGTGAAGACATTGGTATCCCCCGGGCGAAGACCCTGCTAGAAAAGAGGATCTCACTTCTACTCAGACTCTGTCTTTCACTGAGGCCTCGGCCATGAACAGACACACTGAAGACCACAAGCTACAACTGCCAGTTGACCAAATCGTAGAGCGGTGGTTCTCAGCCTGTGGGTCGCCACCCCTACACACTCCAGTATCGAGTACTCTGCAAATCAGAGACTTACATTACAATTCGTAACAGTAGCAAAAGTACAGTTATGTGTAACAACGGAATAATTTTATGGTTGGCAGCTAGCAAACACGAGGAACTGTATCAAAGGGTCGCAGCATTAGGAAGGGTGAGAGCCGCTGTCTAGAGTCGCCTGAGATGGCGTCTCCATTGACAGGGGCCCGTCGGCATGTCTGTGAGGGATTGTCTTGATATAGGAGGTTCAGCCCACTGTAGGCAGCACCAAATCCGCCCCCCCCGCCCCCGCAGGTGGTCCTGTGCTGAATAAGGAAGCTAGCTGAGCATAAGCCTGAGAGGAAGCCAATTGGACACCTTAGGGTACAGAGAGTAGCCCTTCTCTTTAAAGAACTTATATTTCATGTGTATACGTGTTTTGCCCGCATGTGTATCTATACCACATAAATACCTGGTTCCGACGGAGGCTGGAAGATGACATTGGACCCCCTGGAACTGGAGTTAAAGATGGTTGTGAGCCACCACATCGGTGCTGGGAACAGAACCTGAGCCCTCTACAAGAGCAACCATGCTCTTAACTTCTGAGTCGTGTGTCCAGAAGCGCAAGGAAACAGGTCATTGAAAATCAACTCAGTACACTCTACGAGGGTGAATCGGCTCAGGGTTAGAGCACTTTCTGTTCCTCCAGCGTCCAGGTAGCTCACAACTGCCTGTAACTTTAATTATGAGCACACTCACGTGCACAGAAATTCTTTTAGGCATACACACAAATAAAATAAATAGCCAATCTTTAAAAGCTGTGGGCAACAGGAACGCAGATTTGGCACACTACCCAACCTTTGCCAGCAGGAAACAGTTTAGGTTCCTGACCAGAGACTATTTCCCGAGTGGTCTCACCCTTACTCCTCCTAAGCTGTTTCCATGGCCTCCTAATAACCCACCTGGTGTTCGGGTAGACACTGTGAGCCATTCGGACGCCATGCCGGGAGGATGATTCTGGGTGGCACTGAACTTCTACTTGGAGAAAAAAATAAAGTTGACAACCAGAAATAGCACTCACCCATGAATTCACTGTGAATTTGTGTCAGGCCGCCGGAACTGGGGTTGTTCACCTTTGTGATGGCTATAAGGGGAAAACTCGTCAGCTAAATGAGGAGATTGAACATAAAAGCAGAGGGAACGTGTAGCCATTCCGGGGTGTCAGGTTTTAATCCCTTTAATGAAGGCTACGTGAATATACAGTGAGTTGAAATGGTAACCAAAGCAGGTGGGCTCTCTCTCTCTCTCTCTCTCTCTCTCTCTCTCTCTCTCTCTCTCTCTCTCTCCCTCCCTCCCTCCCTCTCTCTCTCTCTCTCTTTCTCTGTGTGTGTGTGTGTGTGTGTGTGTGTGTGCTTGGTTGCTTGTATGTATGTATCTGTATGCGTGTGCGTGTGTGTGTGTGTGTGTGTGTGTGTGCGCGTGCGCATGAATGCCAGAGGTCAACACCAGATGTCTTCCTCAACTGCCATCTATCCTTATTTTTTGAGACAAGGTCTTTCACTGAACTCGGAGCTTACCAATTCAGCAAGGCTAGCCAGGAGGGCCCCAGGATCCTCCTGCGTCTGCCTCTCCGGCGCTAGAATTACATGTGTTCATACCATGCCTGGCTTTTGGAGGTTGAACTCAGGGTCTCGGGCTCACCCAGCAAACACTTTACTAGGTGAACCATCTCTCCCACCCCAGCCCTAACTGTGGGCTGAGGGTCTGGAGTCAGCAGGGGCCACTGGGTAATGGGAGGGAATGCGGTGCTGTTTACTGCAGACAGCACCCCCCCCCCCTGACTCCAACCCTAATCTTTGCTCAGATTGGAAGTCCTCTGTGACTGCGAGGAAAGGCCGAACAAACTTGTGAGAGAGGGTGGTGTTGTCACATGACCTGCTGACGCGTTCCCATGTGGGGTTTCCGAGCTCTGATCCAGGTACGGGCCCAGGTTATCTTCGAACTGGGTTTGCCTGCTCCTGTCAGAGGGTTACAGCAGTCAACTTGGAGGTGTGGGGGGGGGTGGCTGCAGAAGCAAAAAGTAGGAGTGATTTCCAACCGACACATTCTCCCGATTCCCTGAGCCCTGGGGCTCTGGTCCTCCACCAAGGAAAGCTGTATTTCCCTTTCACTTGACCGTGGAGAAAACACGCCCAGTGCCAGCTCGCCCCGCCCAATGCCAGCTCGCCCCGCCCAATGCCAGCTCGCCCGCTCAGCCTTACAGACCCAGTCAAACTGCCGTGGTGGGAAGTCTCTGGGGCCCGCTGGTCTTGGATGGTGAACGGATGCCTTTATGAGATCCTGCCCTGTGCACAGGGCAAAGGGGGCTGCCGAGTGGGGTTTTCCCCTTTGCCCCTCCTCTCTGGCAGGCGGACAGACCGGGTCTTGGGAGTTCACAGGAAAGGTGTGTTTTGACAAGCACACACATGCTCCTTTAGAAAAGTCACAGAGACAAACTCCTTTGTTGCCCCTGGTCCCACTCCCTTCCACCCAGGAGGTGAAGCCCTTTCAGAAGCCACACAAAGGGACCGGGGCCAGTGCTTGCTTGTACAGTTCCCCGAAAGAACACGACTTCCATTCTGTGGTTCCACACACCAGACTCACTTCCCCTCACAAATGCAAACGTTGGCAGGGCTGTTTGTCCGGCCGGCCGGCCTGGGACTGGCAGGGAACAAGAAGTTTGGCAGGACTGGGTAGGCCTCTCTCTGTAGGGCTTTGGTTTCCTGGCCAGTTGAACCCAGTCCAGTTATTGTCCCAGTGTTCTGCCAGATAAAACAAGGAGGGAGCTTTTCTAGAAGCCTGGCCTTGTTGACTGCGAGATGTGGGGAGGGGCTGCAACCTGAACAGGGAGGTGGGGAATCCAGCCCAGGCCAAGGCCAGGAGCTCCATTCTCCAGCAACGGGTCTGACTGGGTGTGGACCTGGTCTCTGGCTCATGGCTGGCATCGATCTCACAAGAGCCTGGCCTCGGAGCCCTGTGACTGCTTGGAGGTCTCTGGGATACAGAGGAGCGTTCTCAGCAAATGAATCTTACCTGTAGTATAAAGCAGTCCAGCAGGCTTGAAGCCCTGGTTTGGTTCCCAGCCCTGCATAAACTGTAGCGGCTTTGTAATCCTAGCACTTGGGGGACAGAGGCAAGATCAGGAATTCAAGGTCATCCTCCACCATGCCGTAGGTTCAAGGGCAGCCTGGGGTGCATGAGCCACTGACCAAAAGCAAGCATTCTAAGCAGAATCCTACCTAGAAGCAAATGATGTCTAGATGAAGAAAAACCCTGTCTACTCCCAGAAATACCTCCTGAGTTGGCTTTTCACAGCCCTCTTTAACTTAAGGCCAGTAATTAAGAATCACTAAAGCACTGTTTCCAGGAAGTTCTCATTAAACACACATTCTAAATTCTCAGCTAAATACTAGTTAAAACGTACTGTACACAAGCAAATTGAAATTCTATGGAGACTTCACTGATGGGGGTCTAGAGGCCACCCCTCCCTTTCCTGTCCATGACTACATCTCTCACAAGGGAAGCCAGGTCTCTGCTCTGGGGCCTCCCCTGAAATGAAGGACTTTACCCCATCTTAGACTAACCACGCACGTTCTCATGGCTGAACCAGTGTGTTTAACACCAAAGCTATTGGAGTCTGGTGTTTAAAATACAGAGGTTCTGTCTCCCCGGTGATGCAGCAATTATTGGATGTGGGACCCAAGCTCCCAAATGTGATTTTGTAGATAGAGAAATATTGGAAACTGGGAGTGGGGGCGGGGTCATCTTTTCAAATATCAGTGCACAGTATTGTTGGGTTTTTGTTCTGTTTTGTTTTAAACAAATGTCTTTGTAAGCCTCTTACAAAATACCTGTGTCCTTCCCTGCAGAGGTTGTGGGGGGCTGACATGGCTTCCTTGAAAATGGACAGAGCAAGGGACAATGCCCAGGCTGGCGGTCACCACAGGCGCTGACTTCTGTGGTCTTCAGGGCCTCGCTCTCCGACGGTCCTCTTGTTCTAACAGTTATTTTTCTGACCACAAACTTTGACGTCTAATGCTTGAGGGCTGAGAACTTCAATTCTATGAACTCTGGTTCACCCATATTCCTGTTTCCCTGTTTTCTCAAGCCTGGCCTGAGGAAGCATGGAGACACACAGCCTGGAATCTATACAGGACAGAAAGACCCTAAAACTTTAGGGAGAAAAAACAAAAACAAAAAAAGCAAGCAAACAAACCCCACCGGATTTTCTTCTATGGGGTGCCGTTTAGTCCCTAAGAAGGCGCATCTAAATTTTTAACGTTGTTCCGCAGCCAGGTGTGGACACTGAGGGAGGAAGGCTGGTGTGAGTTTCAGGCCACTCAGGGCTGCAGCGTTTGACCTTGTCTCAAGAAAACAAAGCCAGCAGAAGCTGTTCTAAGGACAGAGTCTACTATGGGGAACAGGGACAAAATTTCACCCTCTGTTCTCATGGCTCTCAAGCCCAGGTGTGACTTCAGACATTTCAGGAGACAAATCAGCAAAAACTAGGTACAAACTACGTTGTGTGCCAAGACGTTTCCATGGGAGATGCAACACACGCATCCTCTAACCCCAGTAAGGGGCCCACGGTCAAGCACACGGTCAGCTCCCCGCCACCTTGAAGATGTTTTCTCGGTCTTTGTCTTCACATAGAACTCCTTTTGTCTCCATATGATCTCAGAAATGCAGTAGCTTTGGCAAGAAGCATGTCTTTTTAGGTTGTGTCTGAATCTCGGCAGGGTAGGATAGTAAACCTGACAGTCATTGAATGGCAGTGAGCAGGGGTGGGGCCTCCTCACCACCCTCCTGCTCTTCTCTTTCATTTAGAGCTTGGCCTCACTAATATCAGAGAATTAATTTTTTGTTGATGAATTTTTTAATGAATAAAGGGTGAAATCTTCTCCTTTGTCTACTGTTCTGAGTTTTACTCCACGTTATTTATATACCACAAGCAAGGCAGAGCGAATCCATTCTCCCTGCGCTCAAACTCTTGTTCGTCTCTGACATTTTGAAAGCTCATGCAAAATACTATTTCCAGACTTTATCATTGTTATTATTTATTATTAATGAAGGAACTAAAGCTTCAGCAACGCCCCCTGGAACACGCTATAGCCAAAACTTTGAGTAAAGCGGCATGGTCAAAGACTCTAGCACTAGATGGAGTGTTTCATGGGAACTTCAGTGATGGATCTAAAAGATACCCACACAGGGTGTTCTCAATTTGAAGAAACCTTCACTTTATCACCTTGCAAAAAAACAGAAGCTCTGGGGCTGGGGAGATGGCTCAGTGGTTAAGAGCGCTGGCTGCCCTTGCAGAGGACCTGAGTTCAATTCCCAGCACCCACATGGCGGCTCACAGCTGTCTGTAACTCCAGTTCTAGGAAATCTGACACCGACTCTGGCCTCCAAGGACACTCACTGAAAGCATAGGGTGACCATACAATACATACAAGCAGGCTCACAAATGTGCACATAAAAGTTTTTAATTAATTAGTTAGATAGGTAGTTATTTAGTTCATTGCATTGTGTCCTCCTGGTTTGTGGAAACTTCTCCTGCATGGACCCCTCCCCTCTACAACACCTGCCTTCCGGCTGTCTGTCTGCTAAGATCTTTCCCCAGGTAAAGCAACCAGTATCAGCAATCATACAGCAGCCCATTTCCCGAGAAACTGAGGTCCTTGTTGGTGAAATAAAAGACTTCCCCGTCCTCCCAAGTGAGAAGGGGCTGGCCTCCCAGTGTGTGGTCATGTGACCTTTACCACCCAGCAGAAACTGAAGACAGCCTTACTCCAAGGATCCCTGTTTGCTGTTGGCTGGCCTGCAGTGTGGCCTCCGTTCCTGGAAATTCTAATATGCAATATGATCGTCGCTTCTGCAGGAGTGCTCCTGAACTCCCTGCCTTATCGCCCTGTGTCGGCAGGTGCTGGGTAATTAGATCTGGGTTTGCCTTATCAATCCTGGGCCGGCAGAGGGGTGGGGGTGGGCAGCTGTCTCTTCTGTGACACTGCTGGCATTTGGGGAAGAGTCAGCAGTTAAACAGGTGCTAGACATGGAGCAAACTGTCCCCACACTCCTCCACCTAAATCCACAGTGACATTCTGTCTCTGCTTCCTTCAGCTCAGAGGTAAATCTCATGGGGTTCTTGGCCTCCATGGAAACTCGCAGGGTCTTGGGCATCGTGGCTTCACCAGCAGAGGACATAATGACTCTGATTGATTCCCAAACAATTACTTACACTTATAAAATGTGCTGACTGTCTCTAGCTGAGCTA